GTTCTTCAAACATTTTAGTGGCTTCAATGTCACTCACAGAGATAATTTATTCAGTCACATGAATTTTGAAGCGACTTAGTGAGCTTCAAGTCAAAGAGTGCCAAAACGTGTGTTTTCTTTCTCCAAACAGCAAATTAAGGGCTCAGAAAATGAGAATTTAGTTTTCTAAGACTAGTTTTCTATGAGCTGGAGAGGTAAATTACGATAGTCTAAGACAAAAAAAACGTATTTATCTCTTTTTAAAGCGAGTCCTTCAAACTTTTGAGTGGCTTCAATGTCACTCACAGAGATAATTTATTCATCCAAATGAATTTTGAAGCGACTTAAATGAGCTTCAAGTCAAAAGTGCGAAAATGTGTTTTCTTTCTCCAAAAAGCAAAGTAAGGGCTCAGAAAATTAGAATTTAGTTTTCTAAAACTAGTTTCCTATGAACTACAGGGGTAAATTACGATTGTCTAAAAGTGAAAAAATATTTATTTATCTGAAGCAAGTTCTTAAAATATTTTAGTGACTTCAATCTTACAGTGTTTATCTGATTTGCTCGACATTTTTTGGGGATTTTGGACCCCCGTCACAAATCAAAACTAACTGTAGCTTCTTAAAACTTTAGTCTTAAAAAAAAGCTTTTTGACACAGAAAGAATATCACAGAAAGAGAGGTAACAATACCTGGTACAGTTAGTGTGACGAAACTTGCGAAAGACATGGAGAGACACATAAATAACACCAACATTACGATCTGAAAAAAAGAGAACATTTGCATTAGAAAACCAAAACAGTCCTAATGGAACGATTTCATGTTGTATTGCAAATCAACGTTTCTCTCAACATTTCTCTTCGTTGCGTGACGACCCTAAAGGCACGGACACACGGTGCAACATTGCGCGCAATGTTGCAGGCAATGTTGCTTAAGTACGATAGTTTTCTACTTCAGCAACGTTGCGTGCAACAAATTGCGTCGTGTGTCATGGCTCGCAACATCAATTGCATGCAACATTGCGTGCCTAAGACGCTAGCTACACTACAATATGACTGCCAAAAAATCCATTTATTGGGAAGTGAAATAATGGAAAAAAATTAAATGCCAATCTTATCCACCAACCTTGAAGGAAAAGGTATTGGGTCGAATATATGGCTGGAATCCAAACACGGTACCATCCGGATTGTGAGCGATAGGTTGGGGTGGTGGTGGTTGGTGTTGCTGTTCTGGAGGAGGATTGTGGTTGTTGTTGGGGTGATCATTGTTGACAGGAGCAGCATTATAAGCAGGGCCGTAACCAAAAATCTAGAGAAAAATAGAAGAAATTCAAAGTCTATTTAAAATAAATGAGTATTAACACAACCAGAGTTCCAGTATTTAATAACATTTATGATGTTGAAGAATGGCTTAAACGTTTATAAAATCAATGGCCTTTTGAAGTCAAGCTTTCTGGGGAAGATTATTTGGCTTTCATGTGGACTAGTTTTTGGTCTTGAAATTGTAAAAATACGGGAATTGAAACGAAATTTTAGCTTTTGATTTCGAAATAAAAATTAACGTTTTTAAAATACAAACTGCAATGTTGAGAAATGTATGAAAGGACAAGAAGCTGTCTTCTTTAAAAAAGCATTACTTACGTTTTCTTGACCATCCAGTGGAACATCGCCGAGAAGATACGATCTGAGATCTCTGTTGAGAAAATGATCCACATTACAATATACATATAGCTTATATTAGTTAAGACCACTTGCATTCTAGAATTCGATTTTTTTTTTTTTTTTTTGTTTGATTCTAGAATTCCATTTTCTATAAACTTCCACCCCATCTGGATGTACTTACAAAAGATATGCAGCTGTGACAGCCCAGCCCCTGATGACACTCTTCAGCCACTGCCTTGTGTGGCCTTGTTCAAGAAGTGCAGGGAGGACCACTTGTAGGAGGAGTAGTTCTAGGGAGAGCTCACTTACTGGTGCTTCACTGAATGAGAACAACATCCATTAGTATTAAAACTATTGATGGGTTGCAAGCATTCCCAAGAGAGTCAAAAAACAAAAACATGGCGGCCACTGTGGTGCCATTAACAATGGATACTAATGAGAAATCTTTTGTTAAATGGCACCAACATGGCTGCGGTGACGTAACGTGCAATCGAAGAATAGTGTAAACGAGATATCTCCACGTAAGCAAGAAGAATTTTATTTATATAAAATTATAAACAATCACACAATCAGACTATAGAGGTTTTGCACCGAGCCCACACCCATAAAACAGCTTGGACTGCCCGTGGTTAGATGGTAGAACAATAAAATCCCTTTGCTCTTAAGAATTGAATTCTTTCTTATGTAAAACGATTGTATTGTTCATGTCATCTAACATGGCTGCTGACACGTGATGGTGCAGAACCTCTATTGTTATGTCAGTGGCTTTACAGTGCTAATCCAAAAACTGTGGGCACCTAGAAATATTTCAAGAATGTTTCTTAACCAATCAGAAGCATTATTGTTATCTTACCATTAACTTATGGTTAGAAAGTCAATTCTGATTGGCCAAAGAACAACAGAACATTGCTGGAATATATCTAGATACGCACGATTTTTCAATCCGCCCTGCAATATTTCCCCCCCAATCCAATGAGAAGTCTACTTGTACCTTGATAGCTGAACATTGTAGGGAAGAAAGCTTGGGATGCACCACTTCAAAAGGCTTACAGGTAAAAACATCATCAGAAGAACAGTTGTTCCAAACACAACCTAGAAAACAACAGTAACTTTTAGTCAGAACAGATTCTGTACATCAAGAGGAATAAAAGCACACACAGATCTAGACACAGACTGGTGTCCAGTGTTTCACAGAAAAAGGTGAGATTTTTCTACTTTTTTAAAAATCTYTTTTTGTTTTCCAAAATATGGAAGCAAATTCATTTCAAAAGCTGAGATTTTGCTCTGAAACTTTACTCATGCAACAGTATGTTTGCAGATAATATTTTTGAATATTCAAGATATTGTACACAGTGTTTTATATTTTTTTAAACAGATATTTACCAAGGAAAGTAAGAATCTTCTAGCATGTCTATAAACAGGTAGACGTATCATCTAGAATTAGGATTAAAAGCAAAACAAAATTATTAATCAACGATGAACTCAAAGAAATAAAAGCGGAATTTCAACCACCAGTTTGAAACGACCAAGTTTACATAATATTTAATTCAGCAGTAAAAATGATTTGAGTAAAAGGCTAATTTTATTTTTTTTACCTCTTGTACTGGGTGGAAGTCAGGGTCATTGAGATTTCTCAGGAACCAAAGCACTCCTGGTCTTAACACTTCTCTTAGTAGCAACACAAAAGAGGCAAAGTAGAACACATACACCATACCCACAAGCCAGTGGAGGAACATAGCAGTACCAGGTGCAGCACTCATGCTTTGGATCCTATCTTTTAAGGTAGCACCAAACAATGCCTACGAGACATGATATAACAAGTTTGACAGTGATAGGTTATCAAAATAAAGACTTCAGAGGGAACATTTCTAGATTTCTTACGGAGGAATCATTCTTTAGAAGGTCTTGGGCTGCAGTAATCAAGGAAGGGGTCATCAATTTTATAATCATCCAAAGTTGCAAATTCATTCATGTACGTATTTTCTTTGGCTTGCTTCATGCTAGCATTGGAAACGGAATCAGAAGAAACATATGCAGACTCAATATTGTATTTATCACCTAAGTGTCAAAAAAGACAAGACAAGTAATGGGTCTGCATGTGTTGCTTCTCATTCCAACACTTGTGTGAACCAGGCTTTTCAATCAAGAGTCAGCCATGATAGGTGATGTAGATCATGTAAAAACTTTAACATAGCAAAGACATTGAAGTAGGAACAAGCAAAAGCAATATTCAACTAAGATACTGTAGGTAAGCAAATGAAGAAATACGCATTAGCAATAGCAGGACAATTCCCAATTATGTACTCACCAGAGAACAGATATCGAGCCACCATCCACACACCAATGGAAACAGACCAATCTCAACAACCATTAAAAGTGATACCTAGTGAAAATAATAATACACAGAAGTTGCAATAGAAGGCAGCTACTGGAAGTTGATAGCCGAGTATGTACTTCACCTACCACCACTGGCTATTTCACAATCAGCAGAGTCAATTAAATATATTTATCTAGGAAGGGGACACTGGGGTTTGTATTGGGGAGTTGGCCTTCTTTTTGTACAGTATTTTTGATGATTTCAACTGCCAATTCATGGTGATCTCAAACATTGTGATGTACAGTGTTTATGCACATTGCGTCCAATGAAATGATGTAATTGATTGCAGTGTTGCATAGTTTTCTCAGATTTGTCAGTGATTCTAGGCTTTAAATTAATCATGTGACTCTTAAACTATTGAGGTGAAAACCAAAACACAAAAAGTTTCTTTGACTTTTCATGGGGCGATACAGTGAAATTGTGAATTTTTTGCAAAACTTGTTTGAGACCCCCCAATGCCCCCCCTCCTCCCATCTAGTCAGAACACAGCAGCCTATTTTTTCAAGAGAGCATCCTACTTCAAAAAATACTCTGAATTCTCGTCAGGAATATGTGTGTTTCATTCCTCACAACTTAGACAATCATATTCACAATCATTTTCACAATCAAAACATGCATAACAGCTTACTGGTATTTTGAAAATAATTAAGAAATAATAAGCGACTTACTGTAAGAATAAATTTAACTACTAAAAGTGAATAATAATGTAATGTAAATAACAGGAAAAGACTTACTTTGACTACAACATAACACAATCCGAATATTCTTTTGGCCCTAAAATATTACAAACCAGAATACTATTGAGTTACACTGTTACACTGTTGCTTTTATGGGGGGGGGGTACACGTGCACCCTGTGATCCCCCCTAGTTACGGCCCTGCATATAATCATAAGCACAAGCCAAGGAAAAGTAAATCTTCCAATCCTTCTGTCTCCAATTCCAACTCCTTTTTCTGGTTTTCACTCATTATATGCTGCTTCAACTCCAATTCCATCACAAGTGCTAATCAGGCATCAGGGTTTAACATAACAACAAATTTCTACACCCTAATACAACCTTAGGTTATTCTTACCTTTTAAAAGAAAATAGCGATGATACAGTCTGTAATAAAAAGTATCAGTCAAGGATAGCAACCTTGAAAAATCTTGATCAATTAGAAGGTTCTCTATTTGTTTTATATGTTTTATATATTGATTATTAAGTTTTAAGATTATATTATTAATTACATTGTGTTGGGTAGATTTGACAAATAGGCACCCCTCTTCCCCACTCAGACTGAACACTGGAATTTCTAAGGGGCTGGGAGGGTGGGGTTGACATCCTGCTATCAAGGAGGTGAAAAATAAAGGTAGTTGTTTTTGGAAGTCAAATATATATAAAGGGGCATAGGCAGGGGGGAAATGAAATGGTCRCTTTTTAGAATTTATACGGTAATTTTCAAAAAAAAAACATTTTAAAAAGTTAATTGTAATAAAGCGTACAGTAAAACATGACGCCATTCTTTAAGTTTCTTTTTCTTTTGGTTAGGTTTGGAGGGTTCAAACAAAATGGCTTTTGAATTTGCCCCCCTCCCTCCCTTGGAAAATCCTGGCTATGCCCCCATTAATAAAACCAAGGGTCGTACACTTGGTAAAAAGGATACATGACAGAGAATTAGGCACATAGCTAGTATAACATATCCAAGCACAGTTGTTAAAATTCCTTCAAACTTGGTTGACTGGACCTGAAGAAATAAGGAAAATATATTGTTTACTGGTTATCAAAAAACTTTTATCACATCCCTGTTACTGTATTAGAGGTCTCTTTAGCTTGGGCATATTTTTGTCCCATTTCAGACCACATCATTCTTTTCAGAATAAAATTCTTTGTTCGAGTTACTTTGATATTCATGTATCTTCTCATGTGCAACAATTAAACAAAGATACTCTAGGGAATGACACATGGTCTGAAATGAAATAATACTGCACCCAAAGTAAAGAGGCCTACTTGTATCAGTATATGACAAGGTTCCCTTTTAGTATGGAGTTTGGATAGCCCCAATCAATAGGGTTGGCCACTCAAATTATGAAGCTGGAAAAGTTTTATTTCAGTTTAGAAGAATCACCAGAAACTATACTTACAGTTTCTTCGATAGAAAATAGAATTACAGCAAACTGTCCAATGTGGAAGGGACAAAAAGCTGAAAGCAACAAAATTACAACATTCTGATTAATTAACACATTGATTAAACACACTAGCTGTCATGTATGACATTCCCATTAGAATCTAAATAGGTTTTGTTTGAATTTTTAATTCTAACAAAAAAGCATATAAATGACTCTAAAAAATAGGGGGGGGGGGGAAATTAATTTAATAACTCACCAAAAACTAAGATGAATGACGTGTTGAGGGAGACAACCCAAAATACATGCTCCTGTAAGAAAAAATAATTGGACTCAACTTTAGACCAATAATTTTATGCATTTTCATGCACAATGGCAGGTGTGACCACCTGTACATCATAAAACGGTATTGTCAAGAGAAAATATACTATGAGAGAATTAATCCCTCTGCCCTATCATGAGCACTTTCTGATGCTACATTTAGATCATTCAAGACATTTGATGCTCTCTTCACTGTTTGCTCATGTTTTCTTGTGCTAAAGATGAGAGCAAACAGCGCAGAGCATGCGCAGTATATGCATTCAGAAAAAGGATGGTAAAAATTAATGTGAATCTAAAAATAGCATCAAACGGTGCCTATGATGGTTACAAGCATGAGTACCAGAGATTCCTTCTCTTAGTTCATTTTTCTCTCGGTATCATACAGTACATGTATTTGAACTTACCAGAAACACCAGTGAACCATCAAGGCCAAGCATCTATAGATAGAACAATGATAAGAAAAATAAATATATTCTAATATGCAAGCACTAAAAATGTGATCATTGAGCTACTGTATAAGTAAGTATTTTGGAGTACAGCTGTGCTGTACCTATTTTGATTGGAAATTATGCAAAGTGATCTTCCCTTAATTATAACTAAGTAATAAATGGACATGGTAAGTGCTTACCCTTTCCCAAGTCAGTTCTTCTGCACCTCTTTCCCATTCTACTGGATTCCAGTTGTTTTCATCTAACCAAAGTAAGGAATAATTAATATGCCATACTATACTACACTAGTCATTGCAATGTAAACACACAATTCTGATTGGCAGGCAAAGTTGAAATCGAGGCCTGCTGGTTGGCGGTTGAGTTTGCTGTTGCTGGGTGCACCCCTTCTTGCAGCAGGGCAATAGATTACTTATTATAAGCACAACCTCTTCATTGCCAATGAGTTAAACATTATTTTTATAGGAAAACGAACGATCTCGAGTACAATTCGGAATTTATAGGTACATGTAGTTTTCAAAATTGTAAAGCCTTTAGGTGAGTCCAATTTGAGAACATCACGAGTAATTATAAATTCAGAATTGTACAAGAAGATTGTGAGATGTTTTGTTTATAATACACTCCAAAAAATTTAGCAACTTATTTGGGACTCTACAGAGTACAATTTGGAATTTAATTGTTCTCATTGTAAAGCATTGTAAAGCGTTGTTGAAGCTATGCAATATTGACGTTATATAAAATATACATATTATTAATATTATTACTCCTCTTGTCCAATCAGTAAAATAAAATATATCATAATATATGTAATATACTTCTAGCAGTACATCCCCTTACCATCAACATTGTTGATAGCGGCATTGTCTATTGCCACATTAGGACCATTCTCTTCCTCATGCAAATCTTCATGATCCTCATTATCATTCTCACCATCACCACCACCACCACCACCGCCTTCATTTGGATTATTATTTCCTTCATCATCTGCACCTCCATTGCCATTTGCCTGATAAAGATACAAAAAATACAACTTATTTCATAGTGTGTATTTTAATATAAAATACTTGAACTATAACATGCACGCTCAGAGACATGCTTGAACTAAATCCTTCAAAAACATTTTATAAAGCAATATAAAACAGCTGCTTATGTCTCTGTATTGTGAGATAAACACTCACCCCATGTCCCCCTCCCCCTCCAAAGAGGTTTGCAGGTATATGAGGTAGAGGATCTACATTCTGTTGAAGCCATTCTGGTCCTCCATTCAATACTATCTGCTCTCTGAGCCAGACAAGACTTATAAAGGCACACAATGTACAAGCCACAACAAAACAACCACGAACACAATCCATAAAAACATTCTCCCTGAAATAAAAAATGATATTGAATTTATATGAGATTCAAAAATTAATCAGTCAATATGCTAACTTATCAGGTAGTATTAATATATTTTTTTCCTGTCTGGTATCCTAACAACCGTGCATTCTAATTGGCTGCACTATTGGGTGGTATCTCCTGTCTCTGATTGCAGTAAACCAGATTATAAAGTAAATGGGGAAATTATTTACCATCCTAAAGCGGTCTGGATAGAAAAAAACTGTGCCCTCTACCTTGAAAATGGACCTCAGGCTACGATCCTGGTCCGTATATTCAAGGCTTTAGGCATGGTTTTTCCCTATCTGGACCTCCTGGTTTAAATAACCTCTATGTATAATGTTGCAAACTATTTAATTGACTTATCAAAGTTCAAAGAAAACGTTGCTACACATTAATGTAAAATATTGCATAAAAGAATCAGAAAACCAATTATAAGAGAAATGAAGTGGACAAAGATGACATTGATGCAATCTGCCAGACCGTTCTTTCCTTTGCTGTTAGTAAAACAATCCCTGTATTAAAACCATAAGAACAGATGTAATAGAATAATAAATCACACTTACGTAGAGAGCATATCTAGCGGTAAAGTAAGAAGTGAGCTGACAGAGCCAGTAAAAAGACATCTATAAATTCGATCTGCAAGAAAAGTTATTCAGTGAGAGATACTTGTTAAAATTTAATTATAATGTTTAGTAATTAAATCACCTCAGATTACATCAGTGGAAGAGGTACACAGATGGTGAACACCATCTGCAGCCCTACTCCACAGTGAAGATTATCCCATACATACATATACAGTGGGAAAAGTAAACTACTCAATTCACCTTTTCAGCGCTAGCCATCACGGGGTATTAATTGTTTTAGATTGTGTTATGGCCACCAAAAAGTTTGGACATTGTTCTCAAATTTCCGTACAAATGTACTGATTCTAAATGAACTATTTACTTGGTTAATGTTTAGTTAGTTCTCTAAATAAAAGTAAATGATCATTTTTCTAGCTTGATTGAAGCTTTTCTTACTGCTGTTAAGATAGCTAACTAAAGAAATCTACCTAAATTTTCTCTTTAAAGTCAGTGAATTTGTATGGAAATCCGAGAACGATGTCCGAACTTTTTGGTGACTGTAACACAATCCAAGCTAGCGCCAAAAAGGTGAATTGATTGGTGGTGCTCATAGTTGAGTGAATTAGGTAGTATATCATAGGGAAAATCTGGGATTTTCCGAGGGAGTCAATCTCTTTTCCTCCACTTCCCCCAAAATACAATGATCAAAATAAACTGTGAATGGAAGAATGACTCATGATGCCCTACAGTATACCCCTGCTATTATAATAATTTATTTGTACGATACTTACAAGCAGTAATAGGAACAACCCCCAACCAAGCTATAGCAACAAGGGTGTAATGAAGCCAATATCTTACTGCCCTTAGGATACTCTTGGCCAAACCACTGATAAAATCCTGGACTGGAAGATGTGTAGGCATATCGGGAGAATAAACTGAAAAGTAAAAAAATGGAATATTTCAGTCATCTATTTTTTACAATGGTCAAGTATTTATTCGAGACAGGGAACTAAAGATTTGAATAATATTACTGTATTTCCAGTTAATTGTGGCAACCTCACAGAGTGTTTTGTGTACATTAAGCATCCAGTAATATTAAATAGAGTATCAATGATTGACTTTTCATGCCCATGTAAACAGTGATTATATATAGCTCATTAATTATGTTTTGATTGATATCAAAAACTACCATTAATAAATTATATATTAATGAATTTATTAATATATAATTTATTATTTTTATATAATAAGTTTTGAAGTGAGTCCACCAGGAGTTTAAACAACTTAATTTCATTCAGTGCAGAATATTTTTCAGTATTCTGGAAATCCAAAAAATTATATCTGTTGATCAAGGCATTCGAATTTACTTCAATTATTACTTATTTACAAATTCGACTTACTTGGTTTGAAGGTAAATCGATGATTGCATAATTCACAATATCTGTTAAACAGCAGAAAATTAAGTTTATGAGAAATGACAAAAGCAATAAAAAACTCTTATAGGTTAAGTATGTCAATAGACCGATAATATCTGTGTTTTGACTTGGGCGCAACTAACATGCGAGAGCTTGAATGATCTTGTAGGTCATTTGCTTATCTTGATTTCTGGTGTCTGGTATTACATGTAGATAGAATACTCTGAGGACTTATTTAAACATGTTTTGACTTAGCAGTTGCTTGTTGTACATTAATTGCCCCCAGTCAACTCCAAAAAAGTCACGTCATTGATAGCAAGCAATTTAGAGAAACTTATAGAATTAAGACATATAAAAGCAGTTGTTGTAAGTGTAGTTAGTGTGATCCATTATGTAAAAATGCTAAGTTGAATCAAGGAAATATAAACAAGTGCAGATGAAGCAGTTTTTCCATAAGTGGGAATGTATGATAACGACTTTCATATTTGCTATGACAGTATGGAACACTGAAAATGGTTTCCTGTTGTTTTCAATTATATCATCCAATTAAAACACTGCATAGCCACAGTAAATACAGTATGTCAACTACAATTTTTTTTGTATCATTCACTAATCATCGTAAAATAATAACTGAAACATAATGATGTGATGGGATGTTATTGACATGGTCAGACTTGTTTTCAATCTAACATGTTGTAAACATCTACTGTGTGTTTATACAATTGTTATCAATGATCACAACTAAAATCAGACTGAAATCTAAAATTACTGGAATTGGTTTTAAAGTTACAATGTCATTGCTTAAAGAGAGGTGTTTCCTTCCCCGGTTTGTTTTGTTAAATGAATAGCATCAAAATATCATTTTCTTGTCAAGAATAAAGAAAATTTACTTATGGTAGGATTATATGAAACAGTAAGTACTGATGATAAAATAGGAGTTAGAAATATTTCAAGATATCTTTGGTATCCCTGATAGAAGGTTTGTTTGAAAGACAAAACGAAAGTGAAAGCAGGAAATAATTCCAGGTACTACAAGGTCGTTTTTCCCAGCAATACTTGTGGAGTAGCGCGTGCCGTTCACCCTGCAGTCATTTAAAACTAATTCACGAAATGTCTGCAAAAAACACTTACTCTTTCTTGCTATGTTTTAACCATTGTAATAAACTGGAATAAGAAGAATTGACATTAGAATAATAAATAACTAAAAATATAATACTGTTAATTATACATTATTTACAATGAGAATGAAAGGTTCGAATCCAAATGCAGCAAGTCGCATGTCGTGTAACAACAAAAATAATACAACAGACGTATGACAAGAATGATGACACACGATAGTCGTTTATAAAACCTTACCATTCTTGGTGTATAAATTTAATACTTCCCGTACAGATACACGGATGATATAACTGTTTATCTGGCGTGCCTTCGGTTCTACAGACTCTACAAATGTCCACTGCAAAGAAAGACAATACTAAGTAAATCGTGTAATAAAAATGTCGATTCACACAAAATGACCTTTGTCTCTTGTAAGAACAAGCGAGAATTCGCCTGGAAATTCTGGTTCAAAAGTAATAAAATACGCCATAAATTAAAAATCAACTCCCATAGTATCTATATTAAAGGCTTAGTTTGAAACAAAGGGAAATAAAGGAAAATAATCTTGAGCAAGAAGCCTACCTTCTCTTTCTTCGTCCTCCATTTTGTTATTATCAACCGTGCATGACGTCATGTACTTTAAGCATTACCCATGATGCTTTGCGTATCTTCAACTTTACCCATAATGCATCAAATTACGTAGGGAAAAATGAAAAGAAAAAATCAGAGGTTTTATTCCTTCTATATTAGATTTACTGCTCTTTTAATTTACTTCTTATTTCATTTGAACATTTTGAGTAATATTTTTTTTATACTTAAAGTTTCATTATTAGACTAAAAATTGATGTCAAAAATATAATCCGTAATTAAAAAGCCCTATTAGTATTCTTCAAATGTTTTATATTCTTCAAGGAAGAAATTAAAATTCCCTCGTATTTTTAAGTAGAAAGTTTATTTTTTATCAAACGAAAACTGTGCCCAATGTAGCCTGCGGGTGTATTATATCCCATGATGCATTGCGTTGTTTTGGATTCCCAAGATGGATGCAATTTTTCACGAAAAGGTGAGTTTAATTGAAAATCTTACTTATCTCTTAATCTTGTGCCCTATTCCTCCCTATCTTTATTCTAAATTCTAATGTATTATACATTCTTTACAGCAAGAAGGTGCTTTGTGCGCACAGCACTGTTTGAACGCGCTACTACAAGGTTAGAACTTTGACAATTTCTAGACATTGTTATAGTGCAGAATGCTTTATCAAAAATCCTAATTCTTGTAATATTTCTCTTTAGTATTCATTATTCTTAATAGATTAAAACTTGAAAGTTTGTTATATATCTTTACGTCTATACAAGTTGTGTGGTGCGTTCCTAAATCTAAACAGGTAGTGGAAAAAGGTTTATAAATTTTAATCGAGGTATTATGATGATCCGGATGGATGTAGTCCTGAGAAGGAGAGCGGAAGTCATCTTCAGAGTCAGCGACTCGCACTCATTAGACCGATGCCGCCAATTACGCTAACCCAGGTAATTAGGCTATTGTTATCGTGGCAGTATAAATATGACCAGTCTGACTTTATTCTTCACTTGACTCTGAAGATGACTTCCGCTCAGGTTGTCGATGGAAACGTCAGTCACATCAAACAGTCCTTCTCAGGACTACATCCATCCGGACGATCATAATACATCGATTAACATTCATTCACCTGGGTTCAGACCGTTCTATACAATAGTTTATTTATTTATTTATTTTGCAATAAATCGTTATAGCAGTGATCGCACCTTTTACCAAAATAAGGTTTTTGTCATTGGTACAAAACACAGAACAGATAAGCACATAAGAGAACTATCTCATCAAGTGCTTTTAATTTAAAAAATCGCACTGATAATTACATCATAGGTCCATATTTCACTGCTGTAGACCTTGCGTCCATAGCTGAATCCCTTGATGATGAAGAAAGAGAGAGAATGGCTGAGGGCAATCCAAGCTCTGAAGAATTCCAAAAATTTCTGCAACAGCCCTCTTCAAATATGGATGACAGTGGGTTTTTCTCTATACAGGTATTTTATCTACAGTCTGGGCTGAATTATAAGCATTAGCTAGATTACAAATTTTAAATAGCACATTTAATAGGGACCTTTAGATCTGAGAATGAGCACAAGTATAATCTGCAAGTTTGCATTGCATTGACTTTGATCAGGCCAGAAGTCTTTTCAGGGTATTAATAAAGGGCTACAAATATTGCAAATACAATTATGACTGAAACAATGTGAAAAACTGTTCCATCAATGATAACGTTTTGTTGTAATTATTGATTTCCTCCTATTATTATCACCAGGTTATATGTAAGGCATTGAGTGTCTGGGGATTAGAATTGATACCTTATTCTCATCCAGATTCTCAAGATGCCAGAGAAAATCCACAGTAAGTGTAAATATAAATTATGTTATTCCTTTGAGTGCCATTTCTTTTTTTACCAGTAACCAGGCCCTTTCGCTAGGACCTTGAAAGGGGAGGTTCGTTTTTCTACCAGTCTTAGCTATGCCATTTGTTGAGAAATTAATGTAAAAATAGCACTTGACATTAATTCATACTCCTAAAAAGGTGGAGAGGGGGGTTCATTCAAACCATCAAACCACCCCTATCGTCAGGCCTGGTAACAATGGAGAAGGTACTCTACATATAAATGATGCAAAAAGAATCATCAGTATTTTATTTCTGAATCAGTTATACTAGTCTTATGCCCCGGGGAGTACTCCCATATATGGACTATACGGGGATGATCCACTGAACAGGGTATGGTTTTTCAAGCTTCTTGTCATGAATAAGGTATGCAATTTCACTCAAGTTCCAAGTTCTTCCTGAGTTTCCTGTCATATTCAGGGTTTCTACTTTGGTATTGACCGAAGCTGGTTATTATGGCCAGATCGTCAAAAAAAAACAAAAAAAAACAATGCAAAAGCTGACATGATAATTGAAACAGGAACTCAGTGCAATTAATTATATCTTTTTTCATCATAAGCAGGGTACCCCTTTCAGAATCCCAGCAGAACACCCCGTACCCAAATCCTGGTGAAGTACCCCCACCCCACCCCCCCACCCACCAGGTCTTATACTTAAATGTTTCACAACCATCACTCCCCTATAGGTCTCTTCAGTGATGTTCACTGCACATGCACTACCAAGTAGTAAGATGATAGATATATTAGACCTACATGTAGATAAATCTAAATTCACCTGTTTGTGGTCGTTATAAGTTGACTACATACTTATATTGTAATTTTATTACAACAAAAAAACATGTTTTATTTATTTAACTTAATATCCCCAAGTGAAGGAACCATCATACATGTATATATTCCTTTGCCTGTCAGGAATCAAAAGGCATATATCTGCAATTTACAACAGCATTGGTTTACTATACGAAAGCTTGGATACCAGGTGATTGCCCCTTAAACATTCACATTCTTAATTGACTACTTTCAAAAAAGATTTCTTTAAAATAGGGTAAAAGGAAAATACAAAAGAAATTACAATATTTTGCCATTGATTTTAAATGTTTAATTGTGCTTTTCTGTGATGAATATTTTGCCATTGATTTTAGATATTTTCATTGTGCTTTCCTGTGATGAATATTTTGCCATTGATTTTAGATATTTTCATTGTGCT